CTCTCCCTCCTACAAACACACACACACACACATCATATATACTCCATAAATATGTGCAAATATAATGATGTGTCAATTTTAAAGTATTAAAACAAAGATTTGGAGATCACTTTAATTTTTGCCAAACTAATTGAATAAAGTATGCAATTACAGGGATCAATGTCATTTGAGGATGTGTCTGTGGACTTCACTCAGGAAGAATGGAATCAACTGGACCCTATTCAGAGGAGCCTATACAGAGATGTGATGCTAGAGAATTATAGCCATCTTGTCTCTCTGGGTGAGGATGGCTTGTTGAGTAATTTAAAGTTTCCCTAATAGTGTAACGTTCTGTTTCTAAAGTTTGAATACCTTGGGTTCTGGGTATCAAAGTTTTTATTTCCTCTTAGATAAAGAAGATGTTAATTGCCTATGTGAAATGCACCCTTATTAAAACTTACTTTATTTAATTTTGGAAGGCTGAATGTCACACAGAGTACCCAAGTCTTGTATAATTTCCTATTACAGGGTATCCTATTACCAAACCAGAAGTGATCACCTCTTTAGAGCAAGGAGTCCTTGGGCTCATAAAGAGAGAAATCCCAACTTCAAGTTGCACAGGTAAGAAAAGAGAATTGGAAGATGATGAGAGCAAGACCCTAGATGGTGAAGGTGTTCTATCTTTAACATCTCAAAAATATGTTCTTAAATGTTACACACACACACACACACACACACACACACACACAGTTACTGCTCATTATAGATTGTTAGTTTGGTAGGCTTATTATGAATGTGATGGATTTGTAAGCCCACTTCCTCAGAACACATGAGTAGTTTCTTTAGGACCCATACCCTATATGAATAACTCATTTGGGGAAAGTATTAAAGATAATTTAGGTTTACTCAATCCTAGTAGTCTGAGCTTTGCAGCTCAGGAATGTTATGAATGTAATAGATGTAGGAAATTATCAATTTTCACAGTAACCTTTGAGTGAGATGTTAAGAAAGAAACTATACCCTACTCTGGCTTATTCCTTCTGCTTCTTTTTCTATTCATTCAATCATCTCTAGCCTTTCTGAAAGGATCTTAGCATTCTGGATATTTCTGCCCCCAATCCTAGATTTACTGTCTTTCCAGGGTCCCTTTTCCTATTCATAGTTCTCTGAACCTATTTTTAGTTTCCCCACTTTAAACCTAATTTTCAGTCATATTATTTATACTCATTGTTATTTTCTTGTTCCACTGTTCATTGGATCACCTTGGAGTTTGTTCCCTCAAACTCTTAGTATAAGAGAGACACATGCTTGGAACTTATTTCTGGGAAATATGTAGAGTTAGAAGAAAATAAAAGTGAATACCATCAAAAGCCTGCTTCTGACTGGCTGTATTTACAGAGTCTGGTTTATTATTTTTCTTTTCAGAAGATTGTCAAGCTGAATACAACCTGGCATGGCATCAGAAAAAACAAAATATGCACCTGGAGCAGGCTATATCCATTATTGAGAAAAATGTGACTGAAGAAAGAAGTTATGAATGTGATGAATTTGTAAGCCCACTTCCTCAGAGCACATGGGTAGTTTCTTCAGGACCCATACCCTATATGAAAAACTCATTTGGGGAAAGTATTAAAGATAATTTAGGTTTACTCAATCCTAGTAGTCTGCGCTTTGCAGCTCAGGAATGTTATGAATGTAATAGATGTAGGAAATTATTAATTCTTGACAGACATGAGATAAGTGATGGAATGAAGTCCCGTGAGCACATTATGTATGGAAAAGAGCATATTTATAACTTTGTTCAGCCTGACTTGATTCAACTTGGAGACAAAACTTATGAATGTCCTGAGTGTAGAATAACCCTTAGCCCAAGTTCATTCCTTGTTGTTCATCAGATCACTCACATAGGAGAAAAGCCTTATGAATGGGCAAGACGCAGAGAAGCATTCAACAACACAGCACACCTCAGTCTACATCAAACAATGCACACAGGAGACAAGCTCTTTGAATGTAATGAATGTGGAAAATCCTTCAGAGAGGAGTCAACACTGCATATACATCAAAGAACACATACAGGTGAAAAACCATATATATGCACTGAGTGTGGAAGTGCTTTTCAAGAAAAGACAAATCTCATCATACATCGGAGAACTCACAAAGGAGAGAAGCCCTATAAATGTACAGATTGTGAAAAAACCTTCAATCAAAAGGCACATCTGAATGTACATCAGAGAACACACACAGGAGAAAAACCTTTTGAATGTACCGATTGTGGCAAGTACTTCAGAGAGAAATCAACCCTGAATATACACCAAAGAACTCATACAGGAGAGAAACCATATGTATGCAATGAATGTGGCAAAGCCTTTAGAGAAAAGACAAAACTCATTATACATCAGAGAACTCACACAGGAGAGAAACCCTATGAATGTTTAGAATGTGGGAGAGCCTTTAACCAAAAGGCTCACCTCAGTGTACATCAGAGAACACACACAGGAGAGAAACCTTTTGAATGCAATGAATGTGGCAAAGCTTTCAGAGAAAAGTCAACACTGCGCAGACATCAAAGAATTCATACAGGAGAAAAACCTTATGTGTGTTCAGAATGTGGAAGAGCCTTTACCCTTAAGCTAAGCCTCAGTGCTCACCGGAGAATTCATACGGGGGAAAAAACAGATGGATGTACTGTATGTGGAAAAGTCTTCTCCCGGAAGTCATACCTCATGTTACATCAGAGAGCTCATACAAGAGAAAAATTTGAAAAATCATATGAATGCAATGAATGTGATAAAGCATTCTTCCAGAAATCATATCTCATTATTCATCAGAGAGTTCACACAGGGGAGAAACCCTATGAGTGTAATATATGTGAGAAATCTTTCTCCCAAAAATCATATCTCATTATTCATCAAAGAACCCATACAGGAGAGAAACCATATCAATGTGATAAGTGTAGCAGAGCCTTCAGAGAGAAGTCCAAACTCACTGTGCATCAGAGACTTCACATAGGAGAGAAACCCTATGACTGCCCTGAATTGGAAAGAAACTTTCCAGACATCAAGGTTCCTCATAGATTAGAGAACTCAGAGATGAAAGAAAACAAAGAACTGAAAATGGAAAATCTGTCATAGTAAAGTTAAAGAAAAAGGAACTGTAAAAAGTGATGGGGAAATTGTGCTGTAGCTTGGGTGCTTTTCTGAGCATATGATACTTGTGCTTAAAGATCAGCACCAACCATATTGGGAGACGAGCATTCTGAGTAAAAGAAATAGGAAAATCCTCTTTCTTAAAGAAAAGAACTTGGCCTCTGTACTTCTTCATCTATTGAATTATCATTTCTCATCAAAGAGATCGTTCAATGCCGAAATCTTTTCAAGTCTCCAATGTATGAAAGCTGTCAGTTGAAAAACAAACCTCATCATAATTGTGGGCATAAGTATAAAAAGAATTCAATTAATTAATTTAAATAAGTATAGTTCCTCAGAAGTGAAGTAAAGGAAATCTGTATGTTTCCAAATTTAATATCAAACACTCATAGAAAACATAAAAAGAACTTATTAGAAAAAGTGGTTTGCCAAACAATTTTAAGTTAAAGATTTAAATATAGCCATTAAGGGAACAACAAAGAATATATTACAAAATTCCAAATTATTTTAATTATCAGAACAATGTAAGAAGATACTACTAGAGTATCAAATCCAGTGTTATGCAGTAATAACAGTTGACAATACCAATGTTTCCTTCCCAGCCTGATCTGGGAAGACTATAAGCTTCCAAGAAGGACTATAAGCTGCCTAATAGGCTTTAGAAGACATGTTTTTGACACAATTCACTAGAGTTCATTTCTGCTGCTTTTAATGAATACCTACTACATTCAGAATTTTTTCAATAGCCAGCATGGTAGCATCTTTTATGGATTCCTAGAGAGATGTGAAATTTGGTTATCTATATTGGTTGGGGTGAAATAATGGAAAATTCCAGTTGACATTAAGGAAGAGGTCTTGAACTCTCCTTGCCATACAGTGACAGCTAGCTGTTTTAATGATCAACTGTGTTTATTTTTGATGAACACTGAAAGCAAGGCTTTGGGTAACTGAGCCCGGACCGTGGACTACAAACAGCATGAGCAACTACTTCATGAGAATAGCTACTTCCAATGGGACTGCCCAATGAAATGAGAGCAAATGGCGGTGTTCAAGACATAGCATGATACCAAGGCGTTCTGTAAAAAGAAATTATTACTTTATGTGTCCCTTGAATTCTTTGCCTAAATTCCAAGTCTGTCATTTTCAACTTTAGATTTAGATCATGAAAGATATAACAGGAGGTTGGGGCTTAGAATGGTAGTATGTTAGAGTATGTGAAAGAATGTGAATATTTTAAACTCTCAGTTCTCACTGTATAAGCTCTATTTAATTTAATTCTCCCCCTGAAGAGACTGCAAATGTCTTAAATAAAGACCCTGTAGTGACCTAAACTGAAAATGATGCTTTTAAAGATAAGACATCTTTCATATCCTTATACCCAACCCCCCTCTTTACAAGTCGGTTGCTGATTTTCTTTTGAGGCAGGGTCTTAGTATGTAGACCAGGCTGGCCTTATGTTTGTGATCTGCCTTTGCCACCTGAGTGTGTATGACAAGCATGTATCACCACATGCTTATTTTTAAGAGAATTTTATGCCAAGCACTGCATGTGTTTTCCAAATATCAGTTCATTAAGTCCTCCAAATAACCACCATGAGTTATTGCTCTCATTATCTTCCTTGTTTTTCAGATTTGGAAATGGAGAAAAAATCAGTGGCTATTTAAAGGAAGCACAGCCAGTAGGTGATAGATAGCATATATAAATCAAAGGGAATCTGTGCTCTTGATTTCTATATCATCCTCCCAACTCCCAAGTGATTTGTATCTCCAGATTAGATCTATGAATCTGTGGAGGAAAGGATTGACTGGGAGTACTTTCAGGTACTGGGAAACATGAAGAAAATCAAAGCATCTGACAGGTAATAGATCTTGCATTATTTATAGATACCATCTTTTATTAAACCCACAAAAATGGAATCTCTTATCTTTATAAAATTTGAGTCACCAGTTATCATAGTTTGAGTCAATTTTCAGATGCACATCACACCCCTTTAACCATTCAGATAAATCATGACCAGCACAGTGCCGAGTCCAGGAATCCCTGGGAAATGAAAAGAGGAAAGGAAAATGAAGTGGACAAGTTAATGGAATGGTAGCATCACTATTTGTGCTGTTAAAGGTCCAGACCATGCCCACAAACTTACCAGGCCTTCATGCTCTTATGTGAAGATACAACCCTCTTGGCACACATGATATCATCCAGAATATGGCAGTTGAGCAGGTCTGAGGATGGGAAAAGAAGGATGGGGTGACGTGATACACTAGTGACATAGTCAAGTATTTGAAGGGCCTAAAGTTTCTGGATTCCTTACAGCCTAAATAATCTTAGCTATGATGTTGGAAAATTGTAAATGACTTTCATTCTTTGCTAGATAGTCATGAACTCTTTCCATTGCCCTGTTGACTGATGCTGTACAATCTTAACTCATGTCGGATGATATGTTTGACTGTCATGCTGGCTGGTTATGAATAACTCCAACCACCACAATCTCCAACCTGGACATCCTCCAACTCCACATTGGCCAACTCTGGATGACATCAACTATCATCATGTGTAGGGTTGAATGATGTCAACTATAATGTTGGTTGATCTGGCTTTACCTCAACTACCATGTGGCTAATTGGGAACCTACTTTATTTCTGTATTGGTCAGTTCTGATGAATTCAATCCCTATGTGGTTAGATTCTTGATAAATTCAGCTTCTATCTGAGTGTTATTCAATCCGGAATGAAGAGAGAACTAAGCAGTTATGAGTTACAACTTGCTTCTCTTGAAGAAGATCCAGGTTCAGTTCCTAGAACCCACATGGTAGCTCCATTTCCAGGGAACTCCATTTCCTATAACTCCATTTCCAAGAAATCTGACACTTTTTCTGCTCCATCTACAGGCATGAGGCATAGACAGAATATACATATAAGCATGCCCATAAAATATTCATATACATAAAATGTAAATCAATACATCTTTTTAAATAAAAAATAAATTACCATAATCTTTATACCTGCCAGCTGCATTCAGTTTCACCCATCAAACTGCATAGTTCTATATGATCTGAACTGCCATGTTGGGTAGGCCAGGATAGCATTTATTTACCACTTAACTAATTATTAATGTTCTCAATCACCATGCTGACCAGTCCTGAAAAGCCCTATTTTTGTTATTTATACATATGTGTGGGTATATATCACAAGTGTAGGTGTGCCCACAAAGGTTAGAAGAAGGTATCAGATACCGTGGAGTGGATTTATAGGGGCTTATAAGTCATCTAACATAAGTGCTGGGAACTGAACTTGGGTTCCCTGGAAGAACAGTAAACGCTCAACCATTGAGCTATCTCCCCAGCTCTCTAGATAGTCTTAACCACAAATATGACTAGTTGTAATTTGTCCTTCATTTTGATTTGAACTCTTGATTGAGTTCATTCATAACACTCAGATAGAAGCTGAATTTATCAAGAATCTAACCACATAGGGATTGAATTCATCAGAACTGACCAATATGGAAATAAAGTAAGTTCCCAATTAGCCACATGGTAGTTGAGATAAAGCCAGATCAGTCAACCTTATAGTTGACATCATTCAACCCTACACATGATGATAGTTGATGTCATCCAGAGTTGGCCAATGTGGAGTTGGAGGATGTCCAGGACCTTGGTTGGAGTTATTCATAACCATCCAGCATGACAGTCAAAGTCAAACAGATCATTCAAATCTAAATGATCTTACTGGTCATATTACCTCAAACTGAACAACTTTAATCTTAATTTACCTACTCATGTAAAAACTCATTATTCATTTGCCCTGTCTAAGTTCATCTGAGGTTCAAGACAACCTCAACCTTCAGTCTTGCCAATTTTAGATGACCTCTTCTGCCATGTTCTCAAGACTTACATGACCTCTACCTCCACTCTGCCTGGCTTCAGATAACTGTAGTCTCCATTTTGGCCTGTTGGAGATAACCTTAGCCATCATTGTGGCTAACCTTAAGTTTCAATTGTCGCACACGTGTGTGTGTGTGTGTGTGTGTGTGTGTGTGTGTGTGTGTGTTTTCCCCTCAACAGTACCACATTTTTTTGCCTGGAAAGTTCTCTTATTTTATCCCTGAGGTAGTTTGGTTTTGTTCTTACTTCTGTACTTAGCCTCTTTCCTCAGGGCCTAAATAGCTCATTATTCTCTATTTCATATGAAGCAAAGTTTCCTGTTTTCAAATTTTTAATAAAACTGCAGCTTGCATTTTAAAAGGGGTTGGGGTGGTGATGGGCATTTGAACTATTTCTGACCTAAATAACCTCTGGTCTAGACTTATTAAAGATTCAGGATGCTTTCTCTATCAACTCAGAGAGTTTTTTCCTTTCTCATAATTTTTCTACTTCAGCATGAGATTAAGATTTAAAAGGCATTGCTGCAAGGTGTGGTAGTACATGCCTTTAATCCTAACAGTCAGGAGGAAGAGGCAGGAGGATCTCTTGAGTTTAAGGCCAGCCTACCTCAAAATAACAACAACAAAAGACATTGCTTTCTGTGTATGACATGGGAGGCAGGTGGCAGACAGTCCTGTATGTCCCCAGGGATGCCTTACCATTACAATCCAAGTTGCAGAGGTTCTGAGTGGGTGTGATGCCATTGTTACACCACCAGGCAGAGTTCAGCTGGAAAATGCCATATTCACTGCTGCCATCTGGATTGTGGTCCACAAAAGAGGTGTCAAAGCCACTCTCATAGTGTGCCACACACAGCCCTAGGACAGTGAGAGGGTAGTTAGAAAGTGGGCATAAGCATAGGAATAAGGAAGGCTAGGAGAAGAGGGGGGATGATGGGTATGAAGCTCATCTTAATTGTGAACATGGTGATCTTGGATTGGCTGTCAGGTGTTGATTCTGGTGACCTATTGCTGATGCTGTTGGTGAATGGTGGTAAACATGATAACATTGATGGTAATGGTGGTGTTAATGATAGAGCTAACAACTGTGAAGACAGCGTTGACCATGACTTTATGGTTGAATTAAACTAGTCATCATAATCAGATGGTGACTAAAAAGATTGTGTCCTGGCCCCCAAAAAGATGAAAAATATAAAAGTTGACTGAGTCTGAGTGAAGTGGATAAATTGGGGTAGATAAGACTTGGGGCAATAGGAATCTTACAGTCTCCAACAGTGTAGCCTTTGAAGCCATTGAGGCCAGCCTTCTCCAGCTTCCTTGCCAGTTCACAGCGTTCATAAATCTTGGCATCCACTGTGGCAATCAACAGTGTGGCCAAGATCACTAATGCAGTGCTGCAGACCTGCATGACAGCCAAAAGCCCTTCTATATGGTTCCTTGACTCAGATTCAGTGATGATCAGAAATAGGGGACATTCTAGAATACTAGGCTTTATGAGTACCAGTCTGAACTATAGATTCTGGAACACACGGGCTACATGCCTAGGGACTGTACCACTTTCCTTAATGCCAACTCTGTTAGAGATCAGAAGAAACAGAGAAATAGAAACACTAACGTATACACACATAACGAAGGGAGATAAATACAGGGAGAAACTCAGAAATATGAGAAAGATGCAGGGAGAAAGATTGGATATACACAAAAGATGTATGGAACTTGAATACTTATCCTTACAGTAGACCCACATTCCTCTACATTCTTTAAAATTGTCCTACCTTGTTCTATCCTTGCTAATCATTCTTTGCCACTTAGCTACCTCCTTTTCTACTCACGCTGATGCTTGCTGTCTCTATTACCCACTCTGCTGAGTGGTCAGTTCTGTCTTCTACACTGTGTTTACTGTCACCTCTAATTCCTTACACTATTCAGAATATGGCCATCATGTCTTCTTGCTACCCCTCATTGAAAGGCCCCCAGGGAGGGGAGACCCCCACTCAAGCCACGAAAACTCATGACTACTGAAAAGACTCAGAGACACCGATCTCGATGCAACAGCAAGAGATATATTTCAATCAGCACGCTGAGGCCGAGACCCTATAACCCACACAGGGGCAGAGGAGCTCGACCCCCAGCTCTGGGAGAATAGGGTATTTAAAGGAAAAAACCACAACCAAGGGGGAGAAGGGAGGGGTAACTGTGGAAAGTGCCAGGGTTCAGGAAACAATCATGGGGAAACTGCCAGCCCATTACTTAGCATATGACAGGGTTCAAGGAACAATCATGGGGAAAGTGTAGGTCTTTTTTTCTCAAGGCTCAATCTTATTCAACAATATCATTTACATCATCTACTTTGTGGTTAGCCAAGTTCTTGTTCTTGTAGCACAAAGCCCTAGAACTAGCTGACCTGTTCTCCTGGCTCTTTTTACTGTTAGTCTGCTAGAAGTAAAATTTCTATTAACTCTTCATCATTACCTTTATTTACTCATGGTCTTCATCTGTTTGTACTGCTATAGCAGAATACCTGAAACTGTGTAATTCATTAAGAACAGAAATATATTTCCTTATAGTTTTGGAGGCCAATAAGTCCAAGATTACAATTATGGCATCTGATGAGGGCTTTCTTATTCTCACATGGTGGAAGGCAGAGGGACAAGAGTGAACTAATTTCTGCAAGTTCTTTTGGTAGTTGTTTTGAAAGGACAACATAAACCCCATTTGTCTCCATTTAAGGACCAGGCCTGATTCTGAAAAGAAGGCCATAGGCACCAGCTCCAAGAACAGACCATAAAGACACCAGCTCCAGGAACAGATCATAAAATCTAGAACAAGATCATAAAACCCCTCCCAAAAAACAACCTGGAGATAACCACAAGAACAGGAAACTATCTTCTCCCAGGATGGGTCATCTGTGCTGATCAATCTGATCTCATCTTGTAGTTTATGACATAGAAATACAGACCACTGACTGCCTGGCACAAGCCAATCAGAAGCTGATCCCTGCACCTCCACAGCATCAACCAATGAAATTTTAGATTACCTAACCGACTATATATAGAAGAACTAACATAGTAGCCAAAATTATAGTGATATCACTGCTTTGGTCCCTGCCAATCACATTAGAGATTACCTAATTCTTCTAGAGAGTTCTCCTGGTTCCCTATAAGAAGGCCAGTGCACCTTTGTATGGAGTCGCCATTTTGAAGAATGGTTGACACCTCACACACACACATATACACACACACACACACACACGCTGGATGTTTCTTCAGAATAAATGCTCTTTGTCTTTGCATACTATCTGAGTCTGAGGTCTTCCTTCAGTGATTATCAGAACTTTACAGTTTTAGGGATACAATTGCTGTGATGAAATATCATGACTAAAACAACTTAGGGAGAAAAGGGGTTTTTTTTGTTGTTGTTGTTCACAGTTCCATTTAACAGTTCATCAAAAGAAGTGAGAGCAGGAACTCATACAGGGCAGGAAACAGGAGGCAGGAGCTTATGGAGAGGGCATGGATGGGTGCTACTTACTGGGTTGCTCCTCATGACTTGCTCGGCCTGCTTTATTACAGCATCCAGGACCCCAGCTCAGGGATGGTACCACCCACAATGGGCTGGTTCCTCCCTTGTCAATCACTAGTTAAGAAAATTCCCTACAGGCTTGTGTGCAGCCTAATCTTATGGGACTATCTTCTTCATTGAGATTTCCTTCTCTCAGATGACTTTGGCTTGTGTCAAGTTGACATAAAACTCTCCAACACACTAATCATATTAATTTATCATGAAAGTGGAGCTCTTGTCACCTAAATACCTGTCCAAATGGCCCATCATCCAAGACACTGAGGATTAAGTTTCTGGCACATGGATTTTTTAAAACATTTGTTTGTTTGTTTGTTTGTTTGTTTGTTTATGCATATGTGAGAAAGGTGCAGGGAAAGAAATTTGAACATTAATTACTTCATGATGTCAGAGTCCTCAAAAACCAGCCCACTCTCAAAGGCACACCTTTGAACACTGCTACATTTAAGACCAAGCTTTTCAACAAGCTTTGTGGGGCCTTTAAAAATCTAAACTAGTCATTCCTTTCCTCTGTCACATATCCTCCTTCATTCCCTTCACTCTGCTGCTCACTCATCTTCATTCTATCACTTTTTGTTTTTCTCTGTGCTCCTTCATTCCACATTTGTCCTGTAATCACTATTCTTCAACACTTTTGCCAGTCCCAGGTGTCCTCTTTGCCCCCATTCAATTTCTCTAAGGTGAAACGCTTATATAATCAGATACCTTCCAGAAACTCTCTAGAATAATAAAGAAATAAAGGCTATTATTGAGTGGAAGTTATGGATCCAACTTTAAGAACTTGTGACCTTGGGGAAGTACTGATCTCTGGAACAGTTCCCTTATCTAACAGATGGGAGCGATGGGACTGTTGTAGTGACTATTTGAGGTAGTTCAATATGTACTTCACAAAGTGTATGGCACACAGGACACAACTTATTTCATTTCCTGTGCTTGTTGCCAGAACCTCTATGCTTGCCTTCTTTTTCTTTTAAAATAGGTTCTTCACCAAACTAGCCTGCAATTTATTTCTTAATTGTAAGTTTTCCTCTTTATTACAAAGTTATATAGAAGTTCACAGGCCATAGTCATACAGGGATTATAAATCCACTCACTTTTCTGAATTATTCAGAAAACTGCAATTTTTCCCTTTTTTTCCTTCTACTACGTCTCTAAGCATGCTTTCCTTAACACTTTGGGATTCCCCCCACCCTCAACGTTTTGGGCTTCCTATCCTTTATCTAAAGCCTCCCTTCCCACCTGCTTGTCTGACTACCCAGATCAAAATCTTGAGTAAGGTTAAAAGACCACCAGAACCAGTGCTAATTCAAACAATGTTAGTGAAAGAAGCTATGTCAGGTTGGTCACAGAGTGAAGTGAATGTCGTCCTGGAAGAGTACCTGAGGACATTTATATGCATATAGAATACTATATGCATGTGAGTGCAATGAAAACACATTTATTAGAACTATTGTATAGTAGCTCATAGTGTACTGCTATACTTAGGCCTACTAATAAAAATGAAAGCCAATAACATACCAAAAAAATCAGAGAGGGAAATCAGGTGAGGAAAAACTCTTCAAGCATTGTTCTTTAGAAGGTGTTGTTTACCTCAGTGTTTGGCAGGAATAAGCAGGTGGCAGCAACAGCAAGTGGTCCCTTAAGTGGCATAGTCTTTGTGTAGGCTTCTAGTATTCGGAGCCTCAGCTCTCCAGGCATCAGCAGTAACCACAGCCGTATGCTTTAGACAACCCTAGACTTGCCTTTTAGCACCAATCATAGCTTTTGAGCCTCCCGTTTGAAAAATCTTGGCTCTTTAGGACCAGTCACAGCAGTCTCGCGGTTAAGCCAGCTGGAGGGTAAAGTTCCTCTTCAAGTTGTAGGTGTTTTTGAGTTCTTCAAGTTTTGTTGTAGCAAAAGTTGTGGTACAAACTCCCTACTAAGCCATTTGAGATTGTGCTGCTACTAAACAGGGGAAAAAAAACCTGCCAAAGACCAGTGACTGAAAATCTTTTAGCATGCCCACTAATCCTGTCTGGGAAAAGGCCCTCAGCCAGCTGTTGGGTAACAGGAAGAGGTTTTATTTGGGCTATCCTGCACTATTTAAAAAGAGTAGTTTATTATTGAGTACACTGCAAGGGAACAGTGAAGTGAGCAGTAACTAACTGCTTGTAGCTTTAGATGTAATTTTAAGCTCAGTATACAATGTTAGGTTGCTTCGTCTGTTTTAATAGGTAAAATATGAAGCCCTGTCCCTGGTTCAGAAAGTCCTATACCATGTAGTCAATACCCACACTTTCTCATTCTCAGCACAATGACTGCTTTCTCTGGAAAGGCAAAGGCATTGTCAGCCACCACTTAATACACTACTGTACTTTTCTCTGTGTGCCCCCCTGTGGCAGTTAATTCTTCAGCTTGTTGTTTGAAGAGTCCTGTGGCACTTTAGAAGCTAGAATTGCAAACTCCCGGTTCTAGATGAAAGGATAGAGCCAAGGACTTTTCCCTAAACAGAAATTGAAATCACCTAAAGCCTTCCAGGGCCTGCATTGTCTTGTTAATTGCATTTGTAACCCTGTGGCTGCTCTCTGAATTCACCACGGGGAAATTCGTTCTTGTTGGAATAATTTTCTTAATTGGACACTCCCTTTTTCCATTCCAAAAAAAAAAAGGCGCCTGATGTCCTTAGAAATGCTAATCTCTGCTAAATAAACACCAACTTTGCCAAGCCACTCAGAAGTTTAAAAAAAAAAAAAACCACAGTGGCTGCAGAATTTATTTTCTGATCAGTGACATCACCGACGCGGCCCGCTACCCTCTGCGCCTGCGTTGAGCGTGGTCGCCTTTGCGTGCCATCTTGACTATTGGCGGATGCTGTCTCAAAGGCAAACTTGAGCATGCGTAGCACAAGCCGCGGTCCCAGTTTAGGCGGCAGAGACAGCTAGTAGATCTGATGCGGAAGTCCTTTCCTGAACCGTTCACGGAAAGGTCTACTCAACAGCCCGCAAAAAAAAAAAAAAAAATAAAAAAAAAAAGAAAAAAAAAAACTGAGTAAGGTTGAGGGTCTAACATCTGGGGTCGCGAGCTGAATGGTGGGGAGTTGGGGGGGGATGAGTGAAGGGAGGTTCGTGTATGTCATTGATGCGAGAGACTGGGAGATGGGATGATGGGGGCTTGAGAGAGCAGAGACCTCGGGTCTGCAGACTTAATAGGGGACAAAGTTATGAGGCTAGTTAGGATTGAGTCTTACTAAACTTTGGCTTTTACACATTTTTTAGCACAGTGATCACCCCTCTTTAGATGCGCCCCCTTGTCTCAGTCTTCCAGTGTACAACTCGCGGGAGTCGCGAAGAAGAGTACTGGATTGAATCAGCATTTAAAGACTTCTTCGCAGCACCTGAGCCAGACGGCCCCATTGAGGTGAGAGAAAAGGGAAAAAAATCTGTAGAGCCTTAGCGGCCTTTGGACATTCGGGTCTGAGGAGGGATAGACAGGCACCATTTGAATAATAGGTAGAGGCTTATTTTTTTAGAGTGTAATAAATAATATTTGAGTTATGATTAATTTGAAAATAGAGGGGAAGAAAATAGGAACTAATTTTACCCCTTATTTAAATGTCCATTCTTAGACATTCAAGAGCTATATATATATCACTTAATTGTTAACATTTAATTTATATTATTTAAAATGTATACCTGTCTCCCCTCCCCCCTTCCCTTCCCCCTCTCTCCACGTGGTAATGGCCGGCCTCTATCCTCTCTACTCTTCTCTCTCTCCCCCCACTACTCTCTTAATAAAGCTCCCCTCGTGGAACCAAGAAAAAAAATGTATGCCTGTCGTTTTATATATCTTTTTTATTTAGAAATTTCATTTGGCCTCAGATATTTCTCTGTAACATTTTCTAAACTTTGAGCTACAAAACATGTAGATAATAAGTGTACAGTTCTGTACATTATTTTGACAACTATATAGCCTTTCATCCTGAATTTCTACTTATTATCATATTACACATTTTCTATGATTGCTTTAGTTTGGCGTTATTAAAATCTGGTCTATGTATCTCACTGGTCTAGTACTGGCTTAGCATGCACAAAGCCCTAGGAATAGGTTCTATCAGTACTATAAGATATGTTGCTGCTGATGTAGTGGCACACCCCTTTAATTCTAGGACTTGGGATGCAGAGACAGGAAGATCTCAGTGAGTTCAAGGCCACCCAGGGATACATAGAGAGATCTGTCTCAAAAACAAAACAAAAACTTATAGTTGCCCATACTCTTCCAGAGAGTCGCCTTTCGCGTGAGGGGATTTCTGGGCAGATGATTCTGAGCACTGCAAATCTAATGATTTCTTTTACTGTACTCATTCCAGCTCAGCTTTCATACATCTGTTTTCTCAAGAAAAGCAGGAAATGACCAAACCCCAGGTAAGTATGTGGTCTATCTGTTTCTCTATTTTATCTTAGATATGATGAGATATATAGGCATCAGCACTGCAAAATAGGAAACTATCAATTACTGGGATCAGAGAAAATGAAAAATAGCCAATTAAGGTCAAGTTAGATCGTTGATGCCTTGAGTAAATAAAGGTAACATGTTTCTTAACTTATTATGATGTTATGCCAATTCGTAGTTGAAATTTCATTTAATACCCTTATCCCACTAAACATCATGGCAGCATGGTATATTGTAGTATGTATAGGCCATAATGACATTGCTTACTGGGAATTGTTGCTCACTGCTGCTGCCTTATATCATGAAAGAATAGAGTATCGCTTGTGTTTATCCCAGGAAAAATCAAAATTTGAAGTATACTTTCTATTCAGTTCACATTATTTTTGCACCATTGTAAAGTTAAAAAAATGTTAATTCTTCAGTTAAGATTATCTGTGAATTTCCAGTTTGTTTTTGAACTGTTTGGCAGCTATATGGTAGTGTGACCAGTACTTTGGTTTGCCTTATTTCATTAGGATAGAGCATACCAAGGCTTCAGGGAAATCCAAGATTTTTCTGGAATTGTATTTTGGGGCTTTTTTTGTTTTGCTGTGTCTTCATGTAGAATTGTCATCAGCAATAGGCTGATAAAATGTTTCCCTGCTTTCCTGTAGTTATTTCTCACAAAATTCCATAGAGAGAATGGAAACTTTGGGAATGAAATCTCTTCTCTTTCAAATGATTTTCCTGTAATCATTTCCTCAGTTGGATTTTCAGTTCTCTTGCATCCAAAAGACAAATTCCCTGAGATATGTACAACTTACTATCTTTTTTGTTCAGTGTTCAGTTTTTTTTAATTACAGTGAAATCTTGCTGTTGTACAAGTTGATAAATGTTAACACAAGTAGATTGATATAGCTAACTGACCAGGGAGATGGGGAATAGTTTCATCTTCCCCAAAAGCTGTTTTATGCCGTTCTCTTATAGTATCTCATCCTGTAAATTCAGGCAACTATAGATCTATTCTGTGTCATTACAGTTTTGATTTCTCAAGTGTGTCATATAAAATGGGGTCACATATTTATAACCTTAGTTTGAAATTACATATTTTCTTTCAAGATTATTGATTTACATACTGTTTGAAGAATATGTACATATACTTCAAAGAATAATACAAAAAGGCCTGTATACCCATTATATCTTTCAGAACTATAGTACAATATCACAGACAGAGTATTGACATTAACATGATCAAAATATTGCATCACTTTAAGGCTTCCTCAAGGCTACATTCACTGCTCCCTGACCCCTTACCCCCACCCCAGACCTAGACTGCTGGAAACACCTATCTGTTCTCTTATTTCAAGAGTTTGGTTATTTCATAGGATATAAATGAAATCATCTAAGTAACAGATACTCAAGCTACACAAAACCTTGCCTGCCCTCTCACTTCACATCAGTTATCTTCTGGGCAGGATGGCATATAGCTGTAATCTCAGCCGAGACAAAAGAACCATGAGTTCTGGGCTACTCTGAGCTACATAGCAGGATCCTGTCCCTAAAATACAAATGCTGAAGGTGTAGCCCAGTGGTAGAACATCTACCTAGCATGGGCAAGACCCTGGGCTCAATTGCCAATATTAAAAAATTATTGGTGGTATCTATCTCTGTTCTGATTTAGAAAAAAGAATATTCAGCATAGTTGTATATATTTACTGTATATTGTGGGGACTAGTGTTTTGTTAACTAGAGTCACCTGGGAAGAAGGCGGCTCAATTGAGGAAATGCATCTGGCTGATTGGCCTTATGGGTCATTTTCTTAATTAATGATTGATGTGAGAAATCCCAGCCCCCCATGAATGGTGCCACTCTTAGGCAGATGGTCCTGGGTTATATAAGAAAGCAAGGTGATAGAAAGCCACACAAAATGATGCTATTTTATATATTGAAAAATGCTTAGATCACACCCAGCACATCTGTCACCGCAAATACTTATCACTTAACCTATCTAACTGAAATATTCTATACTTTGTGTGTTATCTACCATTATGCTCTCTGCTACTATTGAGTTTGACTGTTTTAGATTCTACATGTAAGTGAGATGGTGTCCCAGGCTAGTGATGAACTTGTTATGTAGCATTGAAATAGCATTGAATACAGTATACCTCTCCATTTATTTAAATCTTTGATCATCTCATTGATGTTATATTGTTTTCAGCATACAGATCCTATGCATGTATTTTGTTCTGCTTAGGTTACCATGAGAAGATGTCACAGTTGATAAAGGAATAGTTAAGAGATCAATACTATAAAAAATGATAGAAAAAGAAAATCAAGCCTGTTTTGGGTGACTTAAACTACATTTTCTTTTAGCTCTGGAGACTGTAAGTATAAGGTCAGGTGCCAGGAGGATTAGTTTCTGATCCAGTGGCTTCTTGACTTGTTGGTGGCTGCCTTTTTATGTGCTCTTATATGACCTTTCCTATGTGTACATCATATGGGAAGAGGAGGGCAGAGAACTTGATTTTCTGTCCTTCCTCTTATGGACTCCTATCAGGTGATGGCCCTTCTGACCTCATTTAACCTTACTATCACCCTAATCTGCACCCCCAAATCAAACCACATTGGGGATTAAGATTTAAATGTATGTTTTGAAGGACACAGTTTCAGTCCATACTGATGTATCTTTTAATAGATTTATTAGCACATATTATATGTTGTAATCCATTTGGAAATAGTTGTAATCCATTTAGAAATTTGCATTTAATTGGTGCATTTTAGTCTTTTCACTTTAAATGAAATTATTGATACCGTTGGATGTAGGCATCCCATTTTATTGTTCATTCACTGCTCTTTTTCCCATTTTATTTGGTGGTGGTTACTCTTGCTGCCTTTAAAAAAACTAAACATTTGATTTGCTTTGGGTTTGTTGTTGTTGTTGTTGTTTTATCACAAATAGAAGTTTTTATTTGTCACTATTAAAAATCTGGATTTTAAACAGACTCTTGGACTTGTGGTTCATATTCATCAGTTCATTCAACCTTAGCACCTATTTCATCTCCAGTTGTTTTGCCAGAACTACCACCTTCACCATGGGACTCCATGAGCTTTCCCAATTCAAACTTGGGTTTCTTCAACATTTTTACTTTTCTAACAAAGACATCATGAAGAGGATAAATGGACTGGCCAGCCTTTTCTATGTCTTTCCCAATGCTGTCTGGAATCAGTTTATTAACGACTTCCTTCAAGTCATTAGTCTGCACTTCTTGGGTCATGATCTCCATCATCATCTTGCGGATCTGACGGACTTGCTGGTGCTGCGCATAGGATGTTTTTCTTATCTGGTTGTTGCGTTTTTTTTTTTTATTGGATGTTTTATTTACATTTCATATGTTGTCCCCTTACCCCATCCCCCACCCACCCAGGAACCCCCAATCCCCTCACCCCTCCTCCTTCTTCTCTGTGGATGTAACCTCTATCTAGTCCCCCCACTCCCACCTCCCCACCCTCAAAATTCCCACCCCCTGGGGCATCCAGCCTTCATGAGGTCAAGGTTCTCTTCTTCCACCTATGCCCAGCAGGGCCCTCCACTCTTACATATTCAGTTGAAGCCCTGGATCCCCGGTTGTTGCGTTTTTTAGTGAAGCCAACACAGAAAAGTCAGAGCAAATACCCGTGGGTCATCTTGACATCAACATGAGCTTCAATCATGGTCTGCCACTTTTTGACCATGGAGCACATTTTGTCCCGGGTAAGATCCATGCCATGGAAGTTAGTCAGACAGTTTTTGCCCTGAACATCCTTGGTAATTAGCTTGAATTTTCTAAATGCAACTTCATCATTCTGTAGATGAGCAAGGCTCACTTCAAACACATGACCCTTGAGGCCATCAGATGCAATTTTGGTCCCTTGAGTCCTTGTGACTAGTGTTTTTCTGATGTTTCTAATATTGAACATTGCTGTAGCTTTCACATCATACCAGTCCTTCTTAGAAAATGGATCAACCACTTTCTTCTTAGCTCCCTACTTGCCACCTTTCGTCAGGCGCTTGTTCTTGCCGACCACCATGGTGCCGATCGATCGGAGAGCCCAAAGTGTGGGAAGTACAACTCGCACAAGAACTTAATGCAAACCAGGCTTGTCTTGTGTTTTATATTACATACTTACTTATCTCTCTGTATGTGGTGAGAATTGAACCCAGAACCCTGATATGATAAACATACTCTACCACTGAGTATCTTGTGTTTATCTTTTCTTACTATGTAGCCTAGTGGTTCCAATTGTATTAATTTTGTCAAAGCTTGTTTCCCAACTCATTCATACTTGAAAAAAATGTATGTTGTGCTTTTTAGTCGGGTATTCCATATATGTCAGCAAACAGTTAGTTGGTGGTGTTATTTCGTTTGTTTGGTTGGCTTATATTGGTTTTGAGACAGTTCAATCATGTAGCTCTTGAATGGCCTTGAACTCACAGAGTTATGCCTGCTTTGCTTCCTGACTGCTGGGATTAAAGTCCTATATTGATTTTCTATCTACTGGTTCTTTCAATTTCAGGCTGTTTTGGAACTTGATATACAGCCCAGGCTGGCCTCAAACTTATGATCCTCCTGGCTCATCTGCTTCCTAAACATTGAAGTTGCAGGTAAAAGTACCACCATGCTTTGTCCTTGGTTATATATTAGACTGTATCTATTTACAGAGTTTCTTTTGTGTTTACTCTAGAGATTATCATGTGTACTTAACTTTATAAAATACTACTAATGTTAATAACTAATGTTAATATTTTTACCTCTTTAGCTACATGTATGAGCTTGTATAAGTTTCCATACCTGGTCCCATTTCTGTTTTGGTTGCTATATATTTACATGCATTGAAAATTACATTGGACACTCTTACAGTGTCTTTGTCTCTTTGTTTGGTGTAGGGTATTGTTACTTTTATGTGGAGTTTCACCATATTTGTTCTCAAGTCTCAAATTCCTAGGTTCATTTGA